AAAAAAAAAAAAAAAAAAAAAAAGTCCAAACAAGATACTGTTCTGTTGCCGCAAATAGCCTTTCCCGTCATTCCGCACAATTCTATAGCGTCACGAAAGGACATTAGACTCCGGTCGGTCAGAAAGAAACAAAAAGAGGAGCAGAGGAGCAGGCGCAGGAGCAGGAATGGAGCTCTGGAGTGTGAAGTGAAGTCGAACTCACCCCAAGAAATGTTGCATGCTACCCGTCACTCACACCCACGACCAACACCACTGACGCCACCACCACCTCTTCCTCTAGCACACAGCAACAGCAAACGCAAGCCATTATCAACCCAGCCAAGGGAACCAAGCCTAAACAGCCAATAAGCAGGTATGTCCCGCTCCCCTCAAGCACACGTAACGGATTGTCGGCAGACTCGATTATGTTCCCTCTCTCGTGCTCGTGCCTATCCTACTTCACTCCCTCCGCCCTCAGTCACCACACCACGCCACGCCACGCAACACCACGCCATGCCACGCCAAGCCATGCGCCATGACGCCGCGAGTCGCCAACTTCACTCCTCGCTCCCACGTGCCACACGGATTCGATTCCGCAAGCCGTCCAAGTTCCTCAAGATCAACCACAATCTCCCTACCGACTTCCGAACGAAAATTGAGGCTCGTAAATTTTCACAGCTGCGCTGCGGAGTACTCCCTCCCAAAAGCAGTCGAGAGCGAGAAGAAAGGAAACTCGGTCGTCGGCGACTACCAACCACTAAGGTGCGCAAGCGAGTGCGCAGGCGACTGCGCCACCTCTACATGCTCGAGAAGGCAACCACATCGATTCATGGGGCCTCGCCCCACCAGCCATGGCATCGGGTCCACTGGTGCTATGTTCGTGCTTAAAATGCATGAACCTGCCCGTTTTCGAGACTCGGACCATGTTCTCTAAAGCACAAACATAGAACGAGAGGGGTCGACTCCCCTCTGCACCGGCAATTATGGGCACTTGCAAGATGCCGACCGGCTTTGTTCCGATGTCGATTCAGGGAAATCCCAGAGTGAGTAATCCCTTCGTCCCACTGCGCACCCTCGAACGTTATCATGTAACACAAGATTTTACCTGTCGTATCTGGAGAGGACAACCTTAAAAAAAAAAAAAAAAAAAAAAAAAAAAAAAAAAAAAAAAAAAAAAAAAAAAAAAAGTCCAAACATGGTACCGTTGCGCTGTTGCAAGTAGCCCTTCCCGTCATTCCATACTATTCTACCGCGTCACGGAACGACATTCGACTCCGGTCAGTCAGAAAGAAACAAAAGGGGGAGCAGAGGAGCAGGCGCAGGAGCAGGAATAAAGCTTTGGAGTGCGAGGTAAAGTCGAATGCACCCCAAGACACGCTGCATGCTACCCGTCACGCATAGCCACGACCAACACCACTGACGCCACCACCACCTCTTCCTCTAGCACACAGGAACAACAAACGCAATCCACGATGAACCCAGCCAAGGGAAGCAAGCTTGAACAGCCAATGAGCAGGTCTGTCCCGCTCCCCTCAAGCACACGTAACGGATTCTTGGCAGACTTGTTTGCATTCCCACTCTCGTGCTCGAGATTGTCCTTCTTGACCCCCTCCGCCCTCAGTCGCCACGCCACGCGGATTTGATTCCGCAAGCCACCCAAGTTCCTCAAGACCAATCACAATCTCGTGACCGACCTCCGAACCAAAATTGAGGCTCGTAAATTTTCACAGTTGCGCTGCTGAGTGGTCCATCCCAAAAGCACTCGAGAGCTAGAAGAAAGGAAACTGGGTCGCCCGCGATTACCAGCCACGGAGGTGCGCAAGCGATTGCGCAAGCGAGCGCACCACCTCTACGCGCCGGAGAAGGCATCCACACCGATCCGTAGGGCCTAGCCCCACCAGCGATGGCGTCGGGTTCACTGGTGCTATGTTCGTGCTAAAAAAGCATGAACCTGCCTGTTTTCGAGACATGGACCATGTTCTCTAAGGCACAAATATAGAACGAGAGGGGTCAACTCCCCTCCGCACCTACAATTATTGACACTTGCGAGATGTCGAAGGCCGCCTTTGTTCTGATGCCGATTCAGGGAAATCCCAGAGTGAGCAATCCCTTCGCCCCACTCCGCACCCTCGAACGTTATCGTCTAGCACAAGATTTAACCTGTCGAATCTGGAMAAGACGGCCTTTTTTTAAAAAAAAAAAAAAAAAAAAAAAAAAGTTAAAACAAGATACCGTTGTGCTGCCGCAAATAGCCCTTCCCATCATTCCACACTATTCTACCGCGTGACAGAACGACATTCTACTCCGGTCGGTCAGAAAGAAACAAAAGGGGGAGCAGTCGAGCAGGCGCAAGAGCAGGAACGAAGCTTTGGAGTGGGAGGTGAAGTCGAACATACCACACGAAAGGTTGCATGCTACCCGTCACTCACATCCACGGCCAACGCCACCACCACATCTTCCTCTAGCACATAGGAACAGCAAATGCAAGGCACGATGAACCCAGCCAAGGGAAGCAAACCTGAACAGTCAATGAGTAGGTCTGTCCCGCTCTTCTCAAGCACACGTAACGGATTCTCGGCAGACTCGATTGTGCTCCCACTCTCGTGCTCGAGGCTGTCCTACTTGACCCCGTCGGCCTTCAGTTGCCACGCCACCTGACGCCACGCCACGCCAAGCCACGCGCCACGACGCCACAAGTCGCCAACCTCACTCCTCGCTCCCACACGCCACACGGATATGATTCCGCAAGCCGTATAAGTTCCTCAAGACCAATCACAATCCCGCGACCGACCTCCGAACCAAAATTGAGGCTCGTAAATTTTCACAGCTGCGCTGCTGAGTGGTCCCTCCCAAAAGCATTCGAGAGCGTGAAGAAAGGAAACTGGGTCGCCCGCGACTACCAGCCACAAAGGTGCGCAAGAGAGTGCGCAAGCGAGCGCGCCACCTCTGCGCGCCCAAGAAGGCAACCACACCGATTCGTAGGGCCTAGCCCCACCAACCATGGCGTCGGGTCCACTGGTGCAATGTTCGTGCTAAAAAAAGCATGAACGTGCCCGTTTTCGAGACTCGGACCATGTTCTCTAAAGCACAAACGTAGAACGAGAGGGGTCAATTCCCCTCCGCATCGACAATTCTAGGCACTTGCGAGATGTCGAAGGCCGACTTTGTTCTGATGCCGATTCAAGGAAATCCCAGAGTGAGTAATCCCTTCACCCCACTGCGCACCCTCGAACGTTATCGTGTAGCGCAAGATTTAACCTGTCGAATCAGGACAGGACGACCTTTGAAAAAAAAAAAAAAAAAAAAAAAGTTGAAACAAGATACCGTTGCGCTGCAGCAAATAGCCCTTCCCGTCATTCCGCACTATTCTACCGCATCACGGAAGGACATTCGACTCCGACCGGTTAGAAACAAACAAAAGGGGGAGCAAAGCAGAAGGCGCAAGAGCAGGAATGGAGCTTTGGAGTGTGAGGTGGAGTCGAACGCACCTCAAGAAACGCTGCATGCTACCTGTCACACAGGCACGGCCAACGCCACTGACGCCACCACCACCTCGTCCTCTAGCATATACAAACAGCAAACGCAAGCCACTATGAACCCAGCCAAGGGAACGAAGCCTGAACAGCCAATGAGCAGGTCTGTCCCGCTCCCCTCAAGCACATTGAACGGATTATCGGTAGACTCGATTGCGTTCCCACTCTCATGCTCGAGACTGTCCTACTTGACCCCCTCCGCCCTCAGTCGCCACGCCACGTGACGCCACGCCACACGATGCCACACCACGTCACGCCACCCAACACCACGACTCGCCACGCCAAGCCACGCGCCACGACGCCACGAGTCGCCAGCTTCACTCCGCGCTCCCACACGCCTCGCGGATTTGATTTTGCAAGCCGCCCAAGTTCCTTAAGACCAATCACAATCTCGCGACCAACCTCCGAACCAAAATTGAGGCTCGCAAATTTTCACAGCTAAGCTGATGAGTGGGCCCTCCCAAAAGCAGTCGGGAGCGAGAGGAAAAGAAACTGGGTCGCCCGCGACTACCAGCCATAGAGGTGCGCAAGAGAGTGCACAAGCAAGCGCGCCACCTCTGCCCACCCGAGAAGGCAACCACACGGTCCACACCAATCCGTGGGGCCTAGCCCCACTAGCCATGGCAGTGCGTCCACTGGTGCTATGTTCGTGCTAAAAAAGCATGAACCTGTCAGTTTTCGAGACTCGGACCATGTTCTCTAAAGCACAAACATAGAACGAGAGGGGTCGACTCCCCTCCGCACCGACAATTCTGGGCACTTGTGAGATGCCGAAGGCCGGCTTTGTTCTGATGCCGATTCAAGGAAATCCCAGAGTGAGTAATCCCTTCATCCCACTGCACACCCTCAAACGTTATCATGTAGCACAAAATTTTACATGTCGAATCTGGACAGGACGACCTTTTTTTTTTTTTTTTCCCTTAACATCTTTAAGGCAGTAGCGGGTCTCAGGTAACGCTCCCGTGAGAACCCGCTCGCCAGTGTTGGGAAACGCGGCGGGACCGGCAGGTGGGCCCGACAGACACCGTGTGAGATCGTCAGGGCCGGCCGAACCGGTGACCGCCGTTGTGATAGTCGAGCGGGCCCGGGTAGAACTGCCAGATAAAAGTTTTTTCCCGAAACTTCTATCTGGCCGTGCAACCTGGGTCCACGCGGCAATCACAACGGTGGTGCTGCTCTAGTGCTTCGCGATATTTCGGTGCGTTGCATGTGGTCCGCGGTGCGGTGTTCGCTGGGGACTATCTGGCCGTCCAACCTGCCTGCACGAGGCAATCCCAATGGCGGAGCCGCTTCGTGATATTTCGGTTCCTTGCATGCGGTTCGCGGTGTGGTGCTTGCTGCGAGAGATATACCTTGGGGCGCTGACTCCTGATGTTTGTTTGCGCTTCGCGGTGTGGTGCTCGCCGTGCTCGGTTCGACGGGACATCGTTGTATTCGGTTCGACGAGAGAGAGAGGAAGACGCAGAGAGAGGGAGAGGGAGAGAGAG